TGACAAAAGACACTCGTATATAAACTAGCTCACCTAGTTTGAATTCTTTTTTCATTTCTCTGAGGATACAATAGAGTGTAGATGCTACAGAGTGCCCGGAACCGGTAGTTACTTGGTCTATCTGTTTGAGTTTACCATACGATTTTGCGAGTTTCTTGCTTTGCCCTTTCATTTTATTCGAAAATCCCTCGCGATAAACCTCTAGAAGAAATACCTGGAATAAAATTTTACCGTTTCATTGGGGATTCGTCATTGGAAGTATTTATTCTCGAAGTCTCACAAAAACGCTCCACGTATCTCGGAAGCAGTTTTCTCCTGCGCAATAGCATCTAGTTGATATCTTACCCGCAACACACCATGGGCGCAACTGAACATAAAATCGAGATGACCTGATGAACTGCTTTTTTACTTGTTGTGCTGTTAACAGAAAAGACATATTTGCTTGAACTTTCCGATTTTTTTGAAGAACGTAGAGATTTTGCAAACTTTCAGTCAATTTTCATTGTCACCCTGCTGTGTGCCTCCCCTCATTCACTGTTTGGTTTTAGGGGAAATTTCAGTGAATACGATTGATATTCTATCGATGGGCATTATGCCAACAGCCCAATAGGATGAACAGAAATGGGATGAATGAAGAATGGGATGAACAAAGATCGAAGAAGACCTTTTTGAAGAGAGAAGATGAACAAAGGGGATGGTCATCCAGCAGGCATCGTTCAGTTGATGATTTCAAAAGGGTGTAGTACATCAGGAATATTCGTTTCAAAGCAATGAGAACAAGGTTCTGATGATATAGCAACACTATAAGTGGCTTTGATGTGCGCATCTGAAGCTGTTGTTGTACCGATGATTCTGCAAATGTTGCAGAGGTAATGATAGCCATCGACAGCCAAATTTATTGCTAGGATGCCGGAGGATCAGATCTCTACAGTAAGTATTCGGAGTGCTTGCATTGAGTAGCAGACAAGTTGTGATGTACCAGCCCTTGATTTACTATAATTATCCTAATGACGGGAAGGACGTTCATTTTTGATCAGCCTCCGATGGCAGTGCTCAAACATTACGTCTTCCACATCTCCCATAGCTCAGAATGATGTCGATCAAAATGCAAAAAAAAGCAGAACTGTTAAGTTGTTGGTTACGATTTTTCCACCCGACGTTTTTCGGGGTTCTTCATTGTCAATGCAAACAGAATGAGAAAATGTGAAATGGTAATTCTGAAAAGGATGCAGATTCCCCCATCTCGCAGCGGGCCAATCCTCACATCATGAAGACACTACGGGAACCCATCCGACTGTTTTTCTCATTCATCTGTCACAATTTCTCCTCAGCCCGACGAAGTTTGACGATTTTCATGTATTCCATGTTGTGGCGAATGCCAGACATTCTGCGCATATCGGAGCTGCAGAGTCCAGTCCGATATTGAGTGAGCCGGTCGAACCTAGAAAGGAATCGCTCGAATGCTTTGTGAATTATGCTCGAAGCCTTTGACGTGGATGCACTGGTCACCCATGTCTTCTTCCCGAAACAGGGCGTAGGAAGGACGAACAGGTCGGCGCGAAGTTGTGGACCAGCCAAATGGTTGCTGACTTTTTTCATAGATCCGGAGGCTTCTACGCTGCTTTCTACCGTTTCACTACTCTCTCCTTCATATCGTTGTCCATGCTTGTGGAAGGCCTGACGTAAACGTAAGACGAGATCTGCTTGAGGTATGCCATCGATATTAATTTGACTTTCGTCAGCCCAGGTCTTTTCCACGGACTGGGTCTTTGTTTGGTCGATCCGCATCCCTATCTT